AATTCCTCATGGAGCTCAAGCAGCATGGTCCCTGGCCCAGTTGCCCCCGGGTAGATGGGCCTCACAACTTCCTTCACAAGTTTGGGCTTCTGAGAAGAGTAATCCGGGCTGAGACTCTGCAGCACAGGGCCAAGCAAGGCCAGCCCTGGTGGGGGAGGCCCTCCTTTTCTGTTCTGGGCCTTGAGGTTCTCACTGTGCTTTCGGGGTCCCTCAGCAGGCTCCCCATCTTCCCCACTGATGCAGAACCTTAATGCCTGGGGAGCCTTCCACCCCACCCCAGCCAGTCCCTGCTCATCTCAAGATCGCCTATGTTCCCTGTTGGGTTTTTGCCAGAACTCTTTCAGCAGTCCTGGGGGTAGAAAGAAGGGGAAGGACCTAGGAGATGGAGCCCTGTCCCAGTCCTGAGGACAGTGTGCCCAACAGGTCACAGCATCACGCATGCTATGGAGTGTTGGGCTCATCCCACAAGGATACGGGACCGTAGGAGCTCACAAGCCTGCCCCAGGCCAGGCCATGCCCGTGCACTGACACTGGCTGTAGCTACCGGCTCCCCTTGAGTGAATCAGGACGTGCGTGTGCTATGGATAGGAGGCTCGGGGTCAGCCCAAGTGTCTCCTGCAGAGGGGTGGGTGTGAGCTTCCCGGCCACAGGTACAGTCACGAAACTTAAGAGGAAATATGACCATGTTCAGGCCATGGCGGGGTCAGCCTGGCCTTCCCCCTGCCTGAGGAGTCGCCCACTCACTGGCCCCCTGCTGAGCCCCAGGCTCAATCCAGCTTAGTGAATGCACAGCCCACAGGCCACTGCCCAGCTCAGCATTCCAGGGCAGCAGGGCCAGCCTGGCACCTGCCTGTCCACAGCACAGCCAGAATGGGGCCCGAAAAAGGCCAGCAGCAGCAGGGAGACCCTGGGAGCTCAGGATGGACACCAGGTGAGTGTATCACGGTAGACGGGCAGGCACGCTTCTGCAGTCCCCAGGGTGACCAGGGCACACGAGCCCTTCGATGTTAGGGCAGAGAGCCTGCGCCCTGTCCTTTTTCAGCCTACCATTTCCATGTGCCTTGCCTGGCCATATGTGGCCCACATGAGGCCCAGTTGTCCAGGAGATTTGACTTCCTAGCTCACTGCTGTGCTACCCTAGTCAGCCGTGTGGTAACAGTGCTGTAGATGGAGGTCACACATGGCCAACGTTATCAGCCAGCAGCCTGCTGCATGGAGAGGCAGCCTCCTTTCCCTAGGCCAGGGCTGGAACAAGGGTATTCCCAGACATCCTTGTTAGTGAGCATCTCCCAGGAACCAGGAAGCCACAGGTTCCTGCAGTACCTACTGTCAAGGGGTTCCCTGACAGCAGTGAAGACCCAGCCTTACAAAACGAATTAGCAGTTCCAACACCTGCCTCTTGAGTGCAAGGTCCCAAGTTTGATCCCTGGTGCCCCCCACCAAAAAAAAAAACAAAACAAATTAGCAGTGTTGGTTCTAAGCCCTGGGAGACAGGCAGGTGGGGTGCACAGGGGCTTGGACTCTGGCTCTGCACACGTCTCCTGGCAGCCTTGGGAAAGTCCCTTGGCCTCTTTCCCCTCCTCCACTGCCTTTTGTACTCACGTATCCTCCTTGGTCATGCTTGTTAGAGAAATGGCTGCCTCACCACCATGAGAATCCCCCACACAGTCCTGACCGTAGTGGGCACAGGGTGAGGGAGTTGTGGACATGTCAGAATAACCAGCTGTGTGTGGATCGAAGTGGGGATGGACAGGAAGCCGTCATATGTGGTGTGCGGCATGGGAGGAATAAAGTCCAGAAGACGGGATGGGGCCAGGTACGTGAGACGTCAGCCATGCGGGTCTGTCCGAGACACTCCCTTTACCCCTGGAGCAGAAAACTCATTTTTAGAGCCATAAACAGTGAAGGTGGGAGGTAGGGACCTAGTTCACCTTTGCCCTGTCTTCTTGCTTTTGCTCATGGGAAGCCCAGATGCTCCCTGCTATGAGCTTGCGGGAATTATTATGGTTATGTGGCTTTTTAGAAGTTTTGGTTTAAGGGTATGTATTACATGAGAGGAAAATAAGCATCTACTGTGTCTCTGTGGATACAGATGCACTGACAGAGGATTCTGGGGGTGTACAGCCATGTAGCAGGTAAGTAGGGTAGAGGTGGAGTGGGAACAAGGAGGAGGGGCTGTGCGTAGCTGGTAGGCCAGGTGGGGCACAGACACAACAGCAGGAACTTGGAAGAGGAGGAAAAATCGGTGTCTCCCAGCTGTAACAGGGCTCTGGGCAAGTATGGCCCTGGCCTCTACTCTCTCCCTGAGGGGAGCAAGCCAGAGGACCTTGTGTGGTCCTAGAATTGAGTGGCTCAGCTGTATGGAGTGAGCAGGAATCAGAACCAGATCCTCCAGGACTGCACCCTACTCACCCCTTGTTGACTGGACAGACTGTCCCTGGGCCTCCGTCTCGAGCATGGCAGCGTCCCAGGCAGTGACAGGGAACCTTGAAGCAGCCCACTGGACACTACCTAGGGAGATGAGGGTGCTTCTCAGTGGCACCAGAGATCTGACGAGTTTCTCACGTGCAGTCCATCCTGCTGAGGCCAGCTTGGCAGATGACCATCCCAGTGACACAGCCAACCGGTGGCCCAGGAACAGCAGCCCAGCCGTGTCAGGGATCCCGTCCTCCATCAGCACACAGGTGGCAGGGACTGTGACTAACGTGATAGGAAACAGGGTGAGCTCAGGGGTGTGGGAAGCAGCCACAGGCAGCACTCCTGAGAACAGCAGCGTGAGTTAGAGACAGCTCCGGGTTCCAGCTGTCACCTCGCTCTGTGGTCTTGGAGTGGAATGGAGGTTTCTGACCACACATCTTTTAGGGCTCCTACGATCTAGAAAGTCCCTGAGGCACCCAGAGGGACGTTCTGCTCCCTCACTGCTTCTTGGTGCAGAACCAGCAGAGAGTTCTCCTTCTGGTCTTGCCACAGGGTACATTGTCATTGTGTCGGCGTTTCCTACCCTGACACCTACAGCAAGGAAGGATGCCACAGGGAAGCCACAGACTCAGGGCTGTGAGGACCTCCTCTCAAGGTCACAAGACAAGTAGAGTCAGGCCAAGAGCTGGGTCTCATAGGATCCACTGAGGCCCACTTCAGGGTCTCTAAATTGCACAGTAGCCAGTGACTGAGGCTCCACATGAGCTGGGGAGCCTTAGAGATCCATAATTTCCAGAGTCAAAATAGCCCTAAATCCTCAACTGCTATCTTTAGGACCCTGTCAAGTGCATGAGATAAGATTTCTTCCCAAACCTGAAGACGCACCTCCAGTCCTGTGCCAGGACACCTATCAGTACAAATCCCTGTGTAGGGGTGGTTGGGTGGAGACCAGCACCCAGGCCTTATAGAGGAGGCAGGGAGGATTCTCAACCTGAGGCCTCCGGGAGCCTCACTTTCCCCGACTACTAAATGGGAATGATCCCATTCCTCGTACTTTGAGGATTTTGCTGAGTGAGCTGAGCCAGTGCAGTCTGTGTGTGTGGTATGTCAGACATCACTGTTTCCATCTCACACCAGAGACAAGGGCTCAGAGGGCCAAGCAGCTTTGCCCGAACCCGGTCTTCTGACTGTCCAGATGTGCCTTTGCCCACTACGTTTTGCTGGTTTTCTCGGGAAGACCATCTCCCATTTGCACGCCTATCTTACCTCTGCACAACGGGGACAGGGCACCCTGCCTGCGCCCCTGCACAGGTGTTGGTGGGATGGTGGAGGCGGGGCTGGTTACAAGTGTGACACGAACAAGCTCCGACTGGGGGAGAGGTTGTCAACAAGTCAGGGTGCCCCCGGGGAAGTAAGCAAACCATAGGGACCCTGCCCACCTTGGAGGGCCCGGGGCGCCTCCTGCCCACTCTCTTCCCCCTGTGAAGGCTGGCACGCATGCCAAGCACCTGGGCAGCGGTCAGGGAAGGTGGCCAATTTGCCACTGTGCTACTGCGTGGAGGCTGGTGACTGGGTGGGCCTGAATGCAGCCGGCTGGGGCTTCCTGCAGGTGAAACACAGAAGTGTGAGGAGTGGTGAGAGCTGAGAGCTGGACTCCACAGGCGTGAGCACCACATACAGCTGGCAGCCCACGAGGGCGTGTCCGTTCGGCACTGCCTGTGTCGCCTCTCCAGTTCTTGCTGACAGTCCTTTAGGATAATGCTGCACTGTCCTTGTGTCAAGTGGGGGTCCGCGTGCCCATCTCCCTCCGGGAAAGTACACTGAGGACAACGTGGGGCTTGCGTGGAGCCCGGCAGTGCTCGGGGTGACCAGGTACAGCAAGGGCTGGGAAGATAGAGCAGCCGCTAACGGTGCTCATGCAGACTTGGATCCAGGAAATATAGCCCTTCCTACTGGGCTAAAGAAAATGTCTAGAGGTCCTTGTCTCGGACTTCACCGCGCTCCAGGGATGGTTGAGGCCTGCGCCTTCCTCTCTGCTGTGGTGACAGCAGCAGGATGACCAGCCCTTGCTTCACAGGAGTGGGAGGAACTCTCTATGAACTTGAAAAGAATCTGGATGTTGTGGGAGGCCTCAAACAGGAAAAAGAACCTTAATTAGAGCATGAAGTGTTAGGTGGACAGTTCCAGTTTTCCTGCCAGATAAGACTTGTTACCTCTCTAAACCAAGCAGTCTACCGTAATGTGGCTTTCCTTCCTTCTGTGCCGAAGTCAGGGACTGGCCTGATCTCCCCAGTGGGAACAGGCCCCTTCCAGCTCTAGGGGGCTGCTGTCGGCAGCAACATGTCCACTGGCCACGCCTCGGGATGAGTGTGCTCCAGATGCTATCCTGGCTGGGGCAAGTGACCAGGGTAGGTGCCAGTTCCTGAGCTGGGCCTGAGAAAGCCGGCATTTCCATATCCCTTGGGAAGTAGAGGGACAGTGAAGACGTTTCTGACCACTCCAGCAAAACGAAGAAAGTCTAGGGGGAATCCCCTGGGTTTCCCTCACTGCCCAGAGCTCCCATAGCCACTTGTCTCTCCTAGGCCTGCAGGGACTTCTTGGAATTAGCTGAGATACACAGCCGGAAATGGCAGCGAGCACTGCAGTACGAGCAGGAGCAACGCGTCCATTTGGAAGAAACCATTGAACAGCTGGCCAAGCAGCATAACAGCCTCGAGCGGGCCTTCCGCAGTGGCCCGGGCTGGTCTGCCAACCCCAGCAACAGCTGCAGCGAGGGTGAGTGGGCGGGTCATGTGCCGGCTGGCAGGGCGTGGCCTGTCACGTGACTCAGGGCACCCATTCCCTAAGTGACTCCACTTAGTTTCTGCTGTGCACCGCAGTCCCTTCCACACACACACACACACACACACACACGCACAAACACCCCTTAACATGCCTGCATTTGGGCTTGACTTGGCCAACTCCAGCTGTTTTCTCCATGGTGCTGCTGTTGTCTGGTACCTATCACCATCTGGCAAAAGCATCCCCAAGCCTAGGTTTAAATTCTCAGAAGTTTAGGCTGGGCATAGCTTAGAGGACTTGCCTCATGCAAAAAGCACTGTGCTCAGTCCCCTGTCCTGCATACACGCACTCACGCAGTCTCAAAAGTTCAGTAAGTTCAGCTGTTCCCTCTGCGGCAGGGTTGCCCAGGTGCCAGGTGGCCACCTACCTAGTCTTGGCTGGGAGGTCACAGATATCCTAGGTGGGGGACCGAGAGGGGTCTGTCAGAAAGGGAAGCTGGGCTACAGGCAGTCTGACCAACATGAAGTCGTTAATTGGAGCTGACTCTGTGTTTCTGATGTGGGAATTCACCGCTGTTAATTTCCCTCACAGGACTGCTTTCACTGCGTCCTGTAAGTTGCGGTGTGTTGTACTGGCACTATTGTGTAGTTGTAGACCCTGATTTCTTCTTTAAGAACTGAACCAAACCTTTGAACAAATGGACTTAGTGGATGTCTACAGAGTGTTCTACCTCACAGCATCAGAAGTCACATTATTCTCAGCTGCACATGGGATGTTCTCCAAAATAAGCCCCATACTAGTGTGTAAACATGCTTAAGGCTGACCAGCACATTGAGAGATCGGGGGAGGCTTCCAGAAGGTGGCAGCTCAGCAATGAACACATTGAAAGGAAGTGTATTGCCGCAGTAAAGGCAGCAAACAGCCCAGGGTAACAGGGCCAGGCAACTAGAACGGGGAGGGAAGTGGTGTGGGGGCGGGCAAAGCCCCTGGCTCTGGACTTGGCACCTGGAGGACCTCTTTTTGAGATTGCAAATTAAGCAGAGGGTCTGTGTGTCTCTAGGAAGCCTCTTGACTCCCAAAGGAGAGGACAGTGAGGAAGATGAAGATACCGAGTACTTTGATGCCATGGAAGACTCTACATCCTTCATCACCGTGATCACTGAGACTAATGAAGATAGGTAGGCACTCTGCTACCCTACCCTCACTGCACAATGCACACCAACAGCCTAGAATGAGCGTCTGCCAGGGTTAGCCTCTCCCACCCTGTTTTTAGGCCCCCTCTGGGTTGTTTTGTTGTTTTGAGATGGGGCCTCCCTACGCAGCTCAGGCTAGCCTCAAATTTGTGACATCCTCCTGCCTCAGCTTCCCAAGTGCTGGGATTACTGGTGTGTACCACCATGTCTGGCACAGGCAACCCCTGGATTTGGTTTGTTGGTTTTTTGTTTTTTATTTTTTGGACTAGGGATTGAACCCTGTGCACTGAGGTACATCTCTACCCGTATTTTTGTCATAAGTTTATTGGTATATTTCAGGTATACAGTACAGTTACATTCATCATTGGGATCTTGTACCTTTACATGATGTATCTTGGTTCTTATTTTTTCCCATTCCCCTGCCCTCCCTTCAATCCCTCCACCCCTCCCTATTTACAAAGACTTTGTTTCCATTTTTTCCTTTCTCCTACCCCTCTAGACCTTTTCTTCCTATTTCACATTGCCCATTATATATATTTTTTAAGAGTAGGAAAAATTATTGAGAGAAAGAAAGCTTCTGTCTGAGAGAAAGAAGGGGGACTGGAAAGTGGGCTGCCCCATCAATTATACATTTTGATCCTTATTTACTTTCAGTTTCTCACACCAGAGAAACTATTCAGTATTTACACGTGTGTCCTATTTATTTCACTTAAGAGTATGGCCTCAATGTGCTTATTTTTTGAGACAAGATCATGCTAAGTTATTAACCTGCCCAGGTTGGACTCAAACTCGCGATTCTCCTGCCTCAGTACTCGAGGATTTTTTCCAAGTCTTGTACAAGATAGCATTTTTGCCTGGATTCTATTCTCGTTTACACCAAAAATGCCTGAATAAAATGTGCATCTATATTTTCATTTAAAATGGAGACAGAACAGGGCATTGGCTAGACACCATTCCAGCCTGGGGTCGGGGGAAGACCCAGAAGGCCACAGCTGTTTCTCTCACCTCAAAGCAACACAAGATCACAGCTGCTTCCTCTAGGGCATCATCGTTTGAAAAGAGATGAAATATGCAGAAGATGTTTTCTATTTCTAAGCCTTTGCTGCATTTTTCATGAAGGCCTGTTCTTTTTGGGATGTTTCTAAATACATCTATGAACATACCGTAGTCTCCAGCACATTTACTAGCAATAAAGACAATGTTGTCAGACTCTCAGATGGATCCATAGAAAATTCCCGTGAGTGTGGCCCATGCAGATGCAAGGAGTGTGCAGGGGTAAAGCATGAGATAGACAAGCAGGTTGGGCACAACGTGTGGCCCAGTTGTGGCCAGGGGATCGGATAAGCAGGCTGGTGAAAAGCCCCACCTACTCCTTTTTTGCTTAGAGCTGTGGGCCTCACAGACTGATTTGCTTTATCATTTCCCTGGCCCAGTGTCCTCCGGAGAAAGGCCTATCTAGCAACATATTTCTAATTCAGAATTATTTTCTCTTTCCCAGTAAAATTTTAAACTTGCTTGCATTACTCTCAATGTTAGCATGGCTTTGTTGTCCTGAACTTTTTTCTGCTCAATCGCCAGAAGCATCACTCTCTTGGCTGTGCTGTCGGGAAGGTCCTTCTCAGCTGTCCCTAGCCCCTGCCTACTCGTTCTGTGCCTGAACCCCAGGGATCTGGGCTCTCCCCAGTGCTCAGGGGCTTTCTGCTCATCTCTTGAGGTCCTGACTGCCAAGTGCCAGTTTCCAGCCCCAGCTGGTCCCTCAGCCCTGGTGCTCTCTGGTATGGCAAAATATTGGATGTGGGATAGGTCAGAAGCACATCTGCCCTTCCAAAGCCCCAGTCTAGTGTGGGAGTCAGAGCAGCAGACATCGAGGATGCAGCGGCATCTATCTGGGATAGGAAGAGGTGCACAGGGCTCTGTGAGGCACTCCCAGAGGAGGTACCCAACCCACGGTCTCTTCTTGGGCTTGGTGCAAGGACTCCAGACAGGAGCTTTGCTGAGCATCTGCTGTGGGGAAACTGGTGAATGGACCCTCTTCCAGATCGCTGCCTGTGTCCCTTTTCCTACACCTTGAGTAGGCAAAGGCTATGGAGAAACTGCCTTGGGATTGCCCTTCATAGGATGTGGAATGGGTAATAAGGAGGCCTCAAGATTTGTCCACAGCTTATCTTACCCTTTATTGCCTGCAGAAAAGCCGAAGGTGGAAGCAGCACGTGTGGAACTGTAGACTGGACCACGGCAGACAATGTGAGTGAGGTAAGAGGTTCCAGGTGGCTGAAGGGAGAGGCTGCTACTGCAAGCTCAGGACCACCACTGGATCCCAGATCTGCCTCCCCTGTAGCAGTTCAAGCAGAGCTGGCCTGCCTTTCCCGTCAGCTCTGTGCCAGCAGCCAGCTTCGTGCTAGCTTTTGGAAGGTCAGAGTCACAGAATGGACCTGGAGAGCAGAGGGGGCGCCAGCATCCTCTAACAGGTGTGCCTTATTTCTCCACAGGTGCTAGATGGAGCCTCACTTGTGCCCAGGGGCTCATACAGAGTCAAGAGGCGTGTCCGCATCCCTGACAAGCCCAACTACAGCCTTAACCTTTGGAGCATCATGAAGAACTGCATTGGTCGAGAGCTCTCCAGGATCCCCATGCCAGTAGGTAGCCCCTCGGTGTGGTGGCCACAGTGGCCCTCGGGCTATGACATCTATACTGTCCTGGGGTGTCCTTTTCTCAATGGCACCTGAAGAGAATGTAACTATGTAACTGTGTTCATTAGCCAGTCCTTCTAAGAGCAGGGGACTTTTGACTCTGAAAGGAGCCAGGCGAGAGCTGTGTGTGTACTAAACTGTGGGCAACAGAAGCAGCTGGCTGCTTAGCACCTTGCTGGCAGGAAGGGTGGGCTGGCTTTGCCTCAGCAGTTTCGTGCAAGGCATATCTGGGACACTACAGGGCCTCCCAATGTCTCAGCTGTCTCCACTTAGTCAGTGGAGGGTAGCAGATGTGGGCGTGTTCAGGGTAGCCCTCCCAGGAAATGGAGGCTTAGCCAGGTCACAGAGCAAGCAGTCCAACAGCAGAACTAGGGTCCTTATTCACCACGCCGCAGTGGCACCTCCACGAAGGAACAGCTTGAGGGCGCTAGGCCTGTTAGTTTTGTTCTGCGACCCATGAGTCCCTTCCCATCTCTGGCTGTGTACAATCTGCAAAATGGAATCACAGCACCCATGGCAGCGTCTGGGAGATGGAGTGAGCTAGGGCCGAAGACTGCATCACACTTGCCTTGCCTGAGGCTGGCAGGGGCCTCTGAGCCACACCTCTCCTCACAGGCCCCTCCACAAGAGCCCTCGACAGAAAGCTTAGATCGTACCAGAATACGAGGAAGACCCACTGCCTCAATTCACTCCAATTGTGATGAGCCAGCATCAACGATACAGCCGAGGGGAGTCAGATGCCCTGGCCTTTGTGGAGTTTAATCCTAGTGGAGTGGTGGTGAAAATCATGAAAGTGTTTGAATGTCTCAGAACAGCAGCGGTGCTGTGATGACCCGGGGCCTGGTGCCTGGCCTGATCTGTCCCCTGCTGCCCACAGGTGAACTTCAACGAGCCCCTGTCCATGCTCCAGCGGCTGACCGAGGACCTGGAGTACCACCACCTGCTGGACAAGGCGGTGCACTGCCCCAGCTCTGTGGAGCAGATGTGCCTGGTGGCTGCCTTCTCTGTGTCCTCCTACTCTACCACTGTGCACCGCATCGCCAAGCCCTTCAACCCCATGCTGGGGGAGACCTTCGAGCTGGACCGCCTGGAGGACATGGGCGTGCGCTCCCTCTGCGAGCAGGTGAGGCTCACCTCCTGGAGAGCGTGGTGGGACGGAGGTGGGTCTGATGCCACAGAACGGGAAAGCCCACCTCCCAGCCGGGGAACCGTGGGTCAGAGGCAGAGGGCTGTCTGCAGGGTGCTGTTGGGAGTCCGGCAGGCCAGAAAGTCAGGTCACTGCCGGCACAGAGGAGGAGCCTGGGCCAGCTGTGCACACTGGGACGAACGCTGCCCCGACCAGCGCCCTCACCTCCACCCCCAACCCTATGGGGATGAGTCAGGATCCAGGCTGGGAGTCGCATCATCATCGGATGCTGAGCCGGACAGCAAGCGATTCGGTTGATGCTGGTGATGCTCTTCCTCCTGAGGTTAGCCAGAAAGCTAACAGTCTGCTGATCTTACTGCTCGTTTGAAAGGAACACTATGGCTGCCAAGAGGACACATTAGGAAGTGATTGCGACGATCGCACGGTGCCAGGTTTTGAAGGTGGAGCCAGCAGGTCTAACGTTTTGGATGTGAAAGGGCAGATAGGGTAACCCGATGGTCCCTGGCCTGAATCCGAGTTAACGCGTTTCTCAGCAAACACTAATGCCCTGAACATGCGAGGTGCTGATGGGATACTGAGGTTAAGGTGGAGAGCAGATAGGTGTGGCTTCCGTTCCCACGGGGCTTGTGGGTATACAGGCAGCTACTGTACGTCAGCAGATGCTTCTGGCTTATTAAGAAGGTGGTGGCCAGGGAGGGGCCTGACTGACACGGGGAGTGGAGGGTGGCTGTCATGGGGACAGTGGGCCCCAGGGAGGCCTGGGAGGTCAGGAAGGTGCGGAGAGGGCGCAGATGCTGTGTACACTGTGAAGGAAGAAGAGACACGGTTTGTTAAGGATTCGATGAAGAATATGACAAGAGGGGCTGGGAAAACTCCAAAGCACTTGGTGCGGGCAGTTGGAGAGACAGGATGGGCCTGAGACAGGCAGCAGTGGTGCAGGGCTCTGGCTCTCCCCTTGGGGACGTGTCCCTGCATTCGCCCATGGGGATGGCTGCAATAGACATGAGATGGCTGGTATAGGAAAGACCGTAAGGTGCCCTACGGAGGGCGAGGCTCTACAAGTCAGAGCCCAGCAGCTGTGGAATAAAAATGGAGACTGAGTAGTGCTGCCAGTAGTCGGGAGAGGGCCAAGCAGCAGGGATTCTGAAGGTAACGCAGTAGCTGGGATGCCCAGCACTGTAAGAGGAAAACTGGGGTTCTGGGGATCCGATGTGGGGAACAGACAACAGTGTCCTAGACAGGACACTGACATGACTTCCACTCAGGAGTCGAGCTGGACTCTGCCCCTCCATTAAAATGGCTTCACTGGTCTGGGCACCTTCCCACAATGAAGCCCTGCATGACAGACATGCGCCTTCCCACGTGTGAGCTGAGGGGTAAATGAGAAAATGGGCATGGAAGCCCTGGTAGAACGAGGGCTTTGTTTCAGTAGCTCTTGGGTCAGATTGCCCTGAGCCTGTCCTGGAAGCCCACCACATGCATGTTTTCCAGTCCAAGAGCCAGCCCTGGGCACACTAGACCCATTTCATACTCCCGTGGGCTGGGGAAGGCCCAGGACAAGCCATAACGGCTGCTTTTCTGCTCAAGACACCACTGCTCCTGGGGACCTGCTTTGAGTCTAACACTGCCTAAAAGAGTAGCTAGACCCAATCCCACGGCCATGGCCCTTTGCTTCCTGGGAACAGGGCGGACTCTCCCTCCCTGGCTGGAAGGTGGTGTAGGTCCATGACCAGCAATACTCACGTCCAGCCTTCTGATCCCAGGTGAGCCATCACCCCCCATCAGCTGCCCACTATGCATTTTCTAAGAATGGCTGGAGCCTCTGGCAGGAGATCACCATCGCCAGCAAGTTCCGGGGAAAGTATATCTCCATCATGCCACTCGGTAAGCTGGGGTTCTCGGCGCTCCTGGGACAGGAAGACATTGTCCTTCAGGGGAGAATTTTGCCAACCCAAAAGCTGGCTTGGGGTTCTCAGGGGACTTCCTTGCAGTTCTGCCCCCCAAGACACACACTGCCTGCAGGCATGGCTTATACCCTACACCCTTAACATGCATGGATATTCTGCTGGTTCTTAAGACTCTGGGCCTGTAGGTGAACTGGCCAGAGCCCTACATGAGGGCACCATGACTTCCGACCTGTACCCGGCCTCCAGGTGCCATCCACTTAGAATTCCAGGCCACTGGAAATCACTATGTATGGAGGAAGAGCACCTCAACCGTGCACAACATCATCGTGGGCAAGCTCTGGATTGACCAGGTCAGGGCTGGATACCCTAGGTGGGGTATGTATGGCCCAGAGATTGGCCACTGACACTTCCTTCTCTCACCAGTCAGGAGACATTGAGATTGTGAACCATAAGACTAGTGACCGATGCCAGCTCAAGTTTGTGCCCTACAGCTACTTCTCCAAAGAGGCAGCCCGAAAGGTAAGCCGGGCTACCCTCCAGACTCTCAGCAGGCACAGAGCACTGCGTGCTTACTTGGGCCCTGCCTCGTCCACAGGTGACTGGAGTGGTGCGTGACAGCCAAGGGAAGGCCCATTATGTGCTGTCGGGCTCATGGGATGAGCAGATGGAATGCTCCAAGATCGTGCAGAGTAGCCCCAGCAGCCCCGGCTCGGATGGGAAGCAGAAGACAGTGTACCAGACGCTACCAGCCAAGCTGCTGTGGAGAAAGTACCCACTGCCGTGAGTAGGGGCTGGGGACCCTGCGTGGGAAATGGGGCCAACAGAGAGACAGAGAAAGGAGGCCAGGGAGCAGAAGGCACCACTCTACCTGGAAGGAAGCAGGCCTGGTCAGAAGGGCTCAGTTCACATAGGGGAGAAAATGATGTGACTGACGTCCCAGAGTGGAAGCCAGATGCCCAGCTGCAAATGAATTTGAATCTATCATGTGGCAGCAGATTCTATGCAGAGACTTGAAACAGGTGACAGACGTCTTCCCTGCATGGCTACAGGAAACTTTTTTAAACCTTGATAATAACTCGTGAGAAACAAAACTATAAAAAGTAGCACGGCAGATTCCAAAGGGAACATGATAGAAATTCTGCAAAGGAAAAATAATTAATTGAGAACTCTTTGAAAAGATTTAGAGAGAGAATGTGTTACCTGCATGCAGGTCAGAATAAATGATCCACACTATAGCACAAAAGAGACAAAACCTGGAAAATGCAAGAGTGAGAAGCCAAGTGAATGTTCCTGCAACTTGCCGCATGCCCTGGAATCTTGTTAGTGTGCAGAACTGTCCAAACCTCCTACGTGGAAATCTGCAATTCTGTAAAGACCACAGGGCACCTGAACGGCATCCAGGGCACTTCTCGTTAGAGCCTCAGGAGGAAATACAGACTGCTTCTGAAGATGAAACAGAGGACACTGCTACATCCAAATCTAGGTAGTGAGACTGTTGAAAATGAATCAGAGAATACTAAGCAGGCAGATTGTTAAAAGACATTACTTGGTGAGAAACAGCACCCTGAAAGCTGCCCTCAGCAATAATGGGAGCTTGAAGACAGGTCAGTGATATCTTTCTTCCCTGTGCTAAAATATTTACTGCCAGCCTCAAATTTTATACCTGGAGTGACCATCTTTAAAAAATGAAGTTGTGGGCTGGGGATTTAGCTCAGTGGTTCTGCCGCCTGCCTCGAAAGTGCAAGGTCCCAAGTTTGATCCCTGGTACAAAAAAAAAACAAAAACAAAAACAAAAATGAGGTTGAAATACAGACCTTTTCAGGCAAATAAAAACTTAGTTGGTCACCAACAGACCTGTAGCTAAAGGCTATAACTCAGGGAGGAAGGAACTGATCCTGGATGAAAGATCATAAAAAGTATGTGAATCTAAATGAACCCTGAATAAGCAAGAATAATAATGTTGCCTAGGGTTTAAAATTTGAGACTACAACCACCCCATTATGTAAGTCAGAAGAGGAATAAATGGAGGGAAACTGTGCTGTCTAGGAAGGGTCAAGACTTGCATTAAAGGGGCTGGGGATGTAACTCAGTGGTAGAGCATGTGTTTAGCACGCATGAGGCCCTGGGTTCAAGCCTTGTGTCCTTGCCTGTGTGCTGCATTAACTTTTGATTGTAGGAAGTATGGATGTTGTAATTCCTAGAGTAACCACTAAAATGATACATTTAACTGGAATCCCAGAAGGAAAAAAAAAAGAAGTAGGTAAAAATGGTGCAGAGGGAAAATAGTTAAATAATGCAAACATTTCCCTCCCCCAAAAAAGATAAAAGGGCGTTAGCTTAAAAGGGTCTGTATAGTATAAAAATATGTACAAAGAAAAATATTCACCTAGACCATGCTATAGTCAAAATTAAGATTACCAAAGAATAAATTCTAACTGCTTCCAGATAGTGAAAGATTTCAGTCAAAGGTGAAGAATCAGACTGACATCAGATATTTCAACAACTAGGACTCAAGTAATATTTTCAAAGTGTGAAGTAAATGAAACTGGAAGGTAGAATTTTCTCTCCAGCCAAGTTATTCAGATATGAGGCCATAGATTAAAGAGATTGGAAATGATCAAGACATTAAATAATTATAAACATATGAATTCTCCAAAATGAATGTAACTATTAAGTATCTCAAACATATACTCATAAAAAAATAAATATGAGACCATGATAAGAAAATTCCTTGGGCATACAGTCTCGGGTGTGCAACAGAAAAAAAATCACAGTGAAACAGCATCAGATGTAGCAATCTTAAAAGGGCAGGGAAAAAGTCCAGAAGATGACTCAATAAATGCATGAAGTAAAATGTAGTCTTTAAACAATGACTAGAGAGAAGGAAAAGAAAATATGCCCATAATCATGCAGAATTAAAAGTCTAGATAATGTTAACATGATGGATTTGGGGGAAAGAAGGGTACAGGAATGTGAAGAAATGCTGTGCTTTTATTAGAAGGAAGAGACCTATGTATGTTTCTTAAAACAGTAAAAAAATATTAAATGAAAAAGTAGAACAAACAGGTTCAAGCATACCAATGAGAAATAGGCAAAAGCAAAACACTGACTGGACTTGTCAAAATTCAGATACATGCTCCTTCTAAGACATACACAAACCAAAGATGTGCAAAGATTGAAAGTAGAAGAGACATTTCATGAAAATTGAACCCAAAAAATTATAGTAGTGATATTAATACCAGGTAAAATAGACTTGGGAAGGAAAGAAACGCTGCTCCATAATGAAAGGTGAAGTTCATCGAGAAACTCTTAATTTCCACACCAGACATGTAATAAAATAAATGGAAAGCACATATTGGCACCTAAGGAGGAAATACAGTAAGTCTGTCATCATCATGGGAAACTGGGAGGTTTCAGTATAACCCTTACTTGTTGATACGGCAGATAAAGAAAACCAGGCAGGATATGAAGCAGATTGGAACAACACAAGCTGTACATACATATACAGATGCAGCAGCCAGAGAATACACTTTTCTCGATTACACATGGAATGTATGAAAAAAATCAATCCTGTATTAAACCATAAACAGCCTCAACAAATTTATAGGGTAGCTTACAGAGTACAATCTATAAGGCCTTTAAATTAGAGCAGAGTTACAGAAATGCTTCACAAAAATTAAGTTCCTAAATAACTCAAAAGTAAAATGAGAAATCAGAATGGGAATTTTTAATACCTCGAACTGAATGACATCAGACATAGCAAACCTGAACGGATGAGATGGGCAGTGCCTCAAGTGAATGTACCGTATGGCTTTAAATACTTTATCATTTAAGCACTTTATGTTTTTGAGGCTTTTTCTTTTCTGAGTTTCCATTCTTAGAGAAAGTTCAACATATACACTCAAAAGAAAAAATATACCTTAAAAAAGACAGAAATTAATAGAATAGAGAAAGAAAATATAACGAAGCTTGATAAAGCCAATAATTGACCCTTTGAGGAACAAAACAACTGACAGTAGAGAAAAGTAAGACTGATCAAGATGGAAATAAGTATTATTCTTGTAATCCCAGCACTCCTGGAAGCTGAGGCTGGGGGTCTTCAAGGCCAGCCTGGAGAACTTAGTGACTTAGTGAGACCCTGTCTCAAAATTTAAAAATGTTTAAAAGGGCTGGGAATGTAGTTTGGTGGTAGCATGCCTCTGGACTCCATCCCTAGTATTGCAATCAATCCACCAGTAAAGTTTCATAGGGTATGGAAAGTATAAAGAGATATACTTGAAAGAGATAATTAGGACTGGGGATTTTAGCTCAGCGGTTCAGTGGCCTGCCTTGCAAGCTCAAGGACCCAAGTTCAATTCCCGGTACCAAAAAAAAAAAAAAAAAAAA